TAAATACAGAAGGAAACTAATCCAATATGCAAGATGAAAGACGAGTGATTGGTACCTGCTCCAGCTAAGATCAGCAAACACAGTATGAGGTTCCAAATTCCAATAACAACATAATGCTAAGCAGAAAAGTAGAATTGCTGCCGACATTATTTAAAACGAACTAAGTCAAAACTAAATTGAGAAATCTTAAGAAAGCTGTATGCTTCAGTAAGTCCACTAACAGATTCCCAGTGCAGGAAATGAAATTTACCTATATCACATAAATTGCAAACAAAACCACAGACACAAAATGTGAACAATGGCTACAAAAGCATCCATAAAGAGCAACAATATTTATATATGGAGGTGTACAAAATAGGTAACCTTCAAAATCGAAACAGTGTGTGTGCCATGTAAGGCAATTAGCCACTGCTTCTAGACTGTACAATATTACACCTCACAATATACAGCAGGGCCAAAGACCCGGGTTGCTACACATAATAACTAAACCTAGTAGCTCTAGCAAAAAGGCAGGAATTTCCAGCAAAGCATCCACGTCTGCATCTTCATATAAACGAGTTCCTGACATAATTAATGAGCACAGTGAATTCCCAAGTCATAAGTCCACACTCAACTAAATTCACAGACATGAAGACATATACCTCATACATATGCCTTCCCCCTTAAACCCTCTATTGCAAGCTTCAGTCTGTAATATTTGGTCTTCAAAGGGTCAATTGTATGCAACGAAATCCCAGCACTGAGATGCTCCAAGAATTTTACGGTCATGATTCCGCAAGACGCACTGTCAAGCCAATAAGTTGGGAAATTAGAACTGCATTTATGTAAAATAGTTTCTAAACTCCACTAAATTCACAAACCTTACCCATCTCGTTGTTGTGGCACATCTCCAATGGTGCAAACTGAGAATGGCGTAAAGCTTGACATCTGCAGCCCCCTTTGCTTAACCTCTTCAAGCTCAGAAGCTTCATAAAAGTGCATATTGTACAGCACTTGTGGCAGCGTCTCGGCAATAGGGCGAAGCAGTCCAACCAGCTTCTTTGTGGCGGTAAAATCAGAGTACGAGTCATACACAGTTG